CCACCCCCGAATTTTTGTGATTTTAATGTCCTCCACTCTGTAAAGCCCGAAATGAACTAAATGGGTAATGATAACTTTCATAAAGACTGATATAAGTATGTTAGTGGTTGTGATATTTCTGATTCCAGTCTATGTCAAGCGCTTCCGTGCTGAATTCAAAATCCGATTTTCAATGAAAAGCACAGGCTCTCACACTCACTCACCGAAAGTATTTACAAGAATGTGTGTCGGCTGTTTGCGATATTAACCGTTACAAAGTGGTTCATGTCCAGATTGGAATAGGTAGAAGTCAGACGCAATGACAGTGTAGACTATTTCCTGCCTCCATTTCGCAGTTCGTGATTTTGCCATCCGACACAAGTTTGGATTATTTAAAGATTCGCTGTTTCCCTTTTAAAGATGCCCGTTTGGGAATCACCATTTTGTAATTATCAATTTTGCATAGATATCTTACCAAACTTAAGGAAACTGAGAAATAGGATTCTGTTAAACACGAACACTAGCTCTACAATAAATAGCCTCCTGTCCCGCTGGAATGATTTCAATTCCATTAATGATTTTAATTCGAATATATTCGTGACCTTACAACTAGTTTACGGTTCATACGTGGAGACGTTATTTTGTTCTGTCGGGGTGTGCGATAGACTTACTTCCACGTGGTGCACCCTGGGCAACGTATACTCATACGGCACCACGTGGTGCACCCTGGGCAACGTGTACTCATACGGCAAGTAAGTCTATCACGTGGTGCACCCTGGGCAACGTATACTCATACGGCAAACAAACGTGGTGCACCCTGGGCAACGTATACTCATACGGCAAAAGTCTATTAACCGGCATTTGACTTCTGACCTCCAACTACCACGACCCCCCTGGTTGTCATAGTTGACCCCTTCCACAGTACTCACTTTACCTTTTTCTCTACCTTTGTGTCTGTCCGCCTCTTTTACATCTGTGAATCGCTCTTCTGTTCCCCACCCTTCGACTTTCTGCTACTTTGATGAGCCTTCCCTCTGTGAAGCCCGAAGTCAGCTAAATGGCTAATGATATCTATCAAAACGCCTGCCATTTGAAATAAATAAATAAATTTTATTCATGTCTAAATAGAGTAATCATAAGTAGAAAGACTAATGTAAGTGAAAGTATATTATGTTGCATATTAAAGATGAAATATGATCGGACAAAGGTCTTTGTGAGAATGGAATGGAGACCAATGTCGGTTTCCCTCTTGGGCGATATGGAACCCTGTTTGAGTAAATCTAAAGTCCAAGTTTCCCTTTTGTCCACTTTGCGTCAATTTTGGCCAGTATTCTAGTGTTCCCATTGGCTAGTTTATTTTAAATTTCTCAGTAGCAATGTGTTGGGTGGCGTAATCGTTGTGAAGTGGGACTTATTTGAACCACAGAAAACGTATTAAAATACCAAAAGAAACTAACTGCATCCGAATTTTAAATTTGTCACTTGCTAATAAATTTCATCCTATCCGAAGTCAAGATTTCAGGATCCGTTCCTTAGATTTTATTGGTAGAAGTTCAATCCCGATTGATCGTCCTTAATCGAAAATTTGAGTTTAATTGTATCATTGCAGTATATCTGCTGTTTTAGATATAGCCAAAGAGCCGCAAGTGACTGCTTGGGAAGTTGCATTGAACGAGGCTTAGGACGTCATGAGCCACCAGATAAGTTGACAATTTAACGGTTCCTTCCATAGGCTGGTCTCATCACTATTACATGTTACTAAGCCACGCAGGTTCACCCATCATACTTACTTTCTTGATATCTCCGGATGTTTAATTTTAAACACCTCCTGAAGTTTTATAACGTGACAAGATTCGAATTTTTTACTTGCATTGTGGCCTTGATATTCAGAAGTAATTAATCAGGTGTTTTTGGTGGGTGTTTATTCACAACACTCAACCAAGTAACTTTTGAAAAGCTAGAGGAAGATACAAATTAAGTAAGCCATTTGGGTCAGATGTTGTTCCTGGAACACTTTCGGAAACCACCGTGCCCACCGAGAGTGTGCTCACACCAAGATTTTCTGTGAGAAGTGAAAATGCTGACCCGTATACGATTCCTCCTTCATTGGTAATTACCTCAATTTCCTTGTAACTCGTCGATTTTGTCCCACTACGTTCCGTACAAGAGGGATGTTTTCTTAATTTTGTACTGTGATGAGTCTCCCTGCTGGCGAGTCGCCATCAAGTTGCACTCTTCCCTCTATAAAGCGTTTAGTCCAATCAAAAATGACTGCTCTACATGGCACAGTCACCATAAACATGCTTCCAATTTAGTCTAATTAGAAACATGTTTGTTAGAACTGGTCACAAAATTTGTCATTTGGATGGTTGACAGTTGTTAGCTGTTTTGAGAAGCAACCCGTCTTTATTCTGACCTTACATAGAACGATAGGATAGTTAAGTGTTACTAAGGCAGCCCTAAAGACATGTTTGAACTTGTAAATCTTTATCCTATTCAAAGTAATATCTGGTAGGTGTTTATTCACAACACTCAACCAAGTAACTTTGAAGAGCTAGAGGAAAATACGAGTTGAGTAAGTAAGCCTTTTTAGGATTTCCACGCTGGACTCTTATGGCTTAATTCAAACAAACTGGGTTGTATCTAGCAATTCTTACAATTTTCATTTGCATTTTACCTTTTTATCATCAATGCCACCTCTTAGTTCATTTTGTTTAATACATTCCAAGGTACCATTGGAGTACTTCCTGATGCTCAATAAGGTAGTGCAGAAGTTAGCTTGCCGAAATAGTAAGTAGACGGCTTCCACACTTTTTTAGGGAAGTGCCTGTTGCGTAGCTTTTTCTTCTCGACTTTGATCACAACAAAAACCACATGAAAAGGGACGCGTTAGGAGGCTATATATTCCTTTTATTTTTGATGCTGAGAATTCCTAATATTCTCCAAGCTGGAATAGTTTCACACTCCATTAATCGCGTTGCAGAGTTGCTAGATAATCCGGCAGCCAGTCAATGCCACAAATTCTAGCTCCTTTCTCTAAATAAATTACAAGCGTACTGCCTTCCCTCTCCACAGTTTGAGAAATTAAAGATGCCTCAAAGAATATTTGACCTAGATTATGTTAATTTTCATTACAAAGATCAAGGAACAAAAGAATAGGATATTTAATATTTGAGAGGTTGTAGGTAAACTATCAAAAAAGCATTGTCTATTTTTTCAACTGTAATGGAGATAGCTGTGACGTCTTTTCAATTTTGGGGTGCGCGATAGACTTACATCCACGTGGTGCATCCTGGGCAACGTACACTCATACAACAAAAAAAGTCTGTAAGCCGCCATGGCCCGTACTGGCAGTTGACTTCTCACTTCAAACTACCATCACCCCTCACTGGCAGTTGCTTTCTGACTTCAAACTACCATCACCCCACCGTATGTCATATTCGACCACTTTCACAGTACTCACCTTACCATTTTCTCCCTACCTTTGTGTCTGCCTCGTTTACATCTGTGGATCACTCTTCTGTTCCTCCTCTCGACATTTTGTGACTTTAATGTTCCTCCCCTCTGTGAACCCCGAAGTCAACTAAAGGGCTAATGATAACTATCATAAAGCCTGCCTTATGATATAAATAAATGGATCTTTTCAATTTCAGGTTAGTTCAAAGACCAAAGCTCAACGTTTTGAAAAGTAAGCGCTAATTTCATCAATGTGAGAATAGAATAGGTAGCAATGTAAGACAAATTAGCCTTGCTTCAGGACAGAGGCGGTGACTGGGAAACAGACAGAGGATCATCTTGAAAAAGATAGATAAAGAGAAAAATCGATACATTGGTCAATCGGGGAAAGGAGAAAGAGAATATGGTCACAATGGATAGCTTTGACGTAGAAATACTAAATACAAATAATAAATATCTTATTTAATCCAGTCGTTTCGTTGACAAGAGTTCTGGCTATGTCATTTACATTGAACTAAATAAACTCATTAGCATCCGAGTAATGTAGAGCGATAAATTATTTGCGGTAGCTAAATTAGTGTAGCTGGAAAGGACAGTGATTTGGACATTTTCTCGCATCTCCAGAGATCTCGCCACCCTCATTATAAGACCACGCACCCTGCTAATACGACCACTCAGGTGTGGAGATGGTCGTGGCTTCGGATAACAACTTAACCTCAGCTACCAGATCCACCCCCCCGCTCCACTCCGCCTCCTAACCTCTCCCTCCAAAAGTCATTCTCATAGCCTCCTCAAGTGAATAACAGTGACAATTTTAAATAATAATTTTTAGCATATTACTAACGGCATTAACTCAAAATAGAAAACAGGAGAGATTGGCTAATAGAGTTCAAATACTCGTTGTAAAATAGGAGGAGATAGGGGTGGAGAAAGACAAGGCCATAAGAAAAAAAATGAGGAATTCATTTATGCGATTCCGAGTTGCAGCTGTTGTCATTATTACCGACCTGAGGCTCATAAAACCGTTCAGAATTAAGTCCGGAATTCCTAACCTCATTCTGTCGATGTCGAGCATTCCAATTGAGACAATTTGCCAAGTCGCTAAACCAATCGGCAACCTGAAAGAAGGGGACACATGTGAGGTAATGATATCATTAGAGCTCCAGATAAATCTTCAGGAAATCTCAATTACAGGCTTACACACAACAGACGTTGAGAAACAGATGATAACAAATGGTAAGTTAGTGGAAGTATAGTGGGGAGGGGGAGGGGTTGAATTACTCAAATCCTATTAAAGTATGAAATTTATGAGGAAAAACTGACTTCTAGCTGCAAGAACTTATTGGCAAGGTAAACCTCCCTCTGACCATACTACTATTATGGATTAGTTAATGGCATAGCAGTATAGGCAATAGCTAACCGGATTTTCGCTGCCAAAGCATGGAACAGGATAGCTCGAAGCAGTGAATATCACCCGATCCGTCTTGTGGATGATGTGATGTTGTCGAAGACGTCCGTCATTTGAGAGGTGAATACACTGGGCTCGACCATCCGGCGCAATCGAGACTTCCAGCTGGGAACAGAAGGGAAGTACAAGAGGTCTACAACTCAATGAATGAGCATTAATTGGTGTGACGAGGATAGCAGGAACAGATGGATGAATTATGGACGCGCCTGACGACATGGAATAAGCGGTACTACCCGTTGGTGTGGAGATGATCAAGCCTGAAAGACAACGAAATGCCATATTAGAGGTTGGTCATAGCGATTAACTGAGTATTGAGAGTTTCAAGAGATTTGCAACGCAAATAATAATCCTAAGTTTGATTTAAACTCTGGCCCCAGTAAGCTCTCTTGACAAAGGAAATAGATTAAACTAGAAACGATTTTTAGCAGCATTGTCCATTAGAGTGACATTCATATTCCTTTGAGAGGAGTTCACAGTGAAAACAATCCAGGTAGAACTGAACTCCACCAACAACATAAGCGACACATTTGCACCCTCAAAGGCTCCCAGAAGAATAAAACGAACCTGCAATCAATGTCAAATGTACTGCGCAAGCAACAACTCCTTATGGCCTGGAGTTGGATTAGATACTATTGTCTTTCTTCAACCGCACTAAACTGAACGCTTTAAAAACAGTAGGGGTTCTCAGAGCCGGATTAAGCAATACATTGGTAAATGGAAATATTAGCAAATTTCATGGCATTACAAAACAGTTAGCAATTATCCAGTAAAGGACAGAGGCTAGTGACCCAGAAGGGTTTTCACAAGTGTCAAGAGGCAACAGTGCTTAATTTTCCGTTTCTAAATGGATGTTTCTTTTCAGAGAAAAAAAATAACATAAATTTATATGTCAAATGTTCATAGAATTCATCATTTTTGAAGGGTCATTGTTTTGCAGAATATTGGAGTAAAAAATTCACCATTACACTAATCTCGTGCTACCATGGCTTTGGTATGCCATTTTGGGGGGATGCTAATTAGATTAAAACGAAAAGTAAGCGCCAATTGTTGGATATTATAGTTTAATCTGGGAGGTAGATAAAGTCTAACAAATCATGCATTGGCATTAGAAAGAAAACAAAAGCAGCGTATTCCATCAAGCTGACAGGAGAAACAAGTATCTCCATTATCCTTTGATCGAACCTCCCCAAACAATGCAAAACCTATTATCGACTGCAATTAACTACTGGCATAGAAAAATAAATTCTGAACCAATAACTAATTGTCAAATGAACGAAAAGTGCCTTTCTACACAATTTCACATGCCACTATTATGTACTATAGAAGTGTACCTAAAATTTGGCTAAGACCTATAATCACATTCGTTTGCTTGGTCCCAAAAAATGAATTTTGCACAAATGTCAAAAGATTTAGCTCATCCAGAAAGAAGTAGGAGGTGGAAACGAAGTCTACATTAGTATTTACCGACGTCTGCAATTGATAATAAATAAATATCTCGGCAAAACTGAAACCTCAATGGACCAGTTAACAAAAGAATCATTTATTGGGGCTGGTAAAAATTAGCAAAGCAGATTAAAATGAATCAGTATCAAAAACTCAAACGAAATGAATGAAAACTACAAGAATAATTTCCATCGAATCTTTCAAAAACAACCCATAGTATATGAAAGTGAGTCGAAAAGTCCCCAGATAAATTCCTTAATTTATTTATTTAATATTCATTTTCTGCATATACACTAATGTGACTCATACTCCCACATGTAAATCCCCCCCCCCACCCCCTCTGATAGAATTTTGGGGCTGTCTCTGGCACCCCGAAATTACATACCTCTCCGCTTCATCTAAAGAAGTGAATCGTGTGTCTTTAAGGCGTTCTTTCATTGTTGGAAACAAAAACAGTCTGAGGGGGAGTAAGATCTGGACTATAAGGAGGATGTGGAAGCGTATCTCATCGAAATTCGCTCAACGGGGCTCTAACAGCTCCTGAAGAATGCGCAAAGATATTGTCATGGTGAAACGAAATTTGACTGCGCAGTTTATTGCGTCATTTTTTGGCGAGGAATGACTTGAGATCACCATCTTCTGTCC